TAAATAAATAAATAAATAAATAAATAAATAAATAAATAAATAAATAAGAATGAAAACTGAACAGTGAGATATACAGAGTAGTATGGAAGGACTTCCCTAATTATTTACAACCCCAGTATATCTATAAAATGTTATAGAAGATGAAAAAAAAAAACATTTAGTAAAATCACACCTTGGAGAGCACTACTGTAACAATGGCTTCAGTGAGCATTGAAAAGGTTTTTAGCAACACTGTCAATATCTGTATCTGAGAAGAAATAGAGTGCAATATAAAAAACATGATTGCCCTCTAGTGGTTGCTCTTATTCATTACAGTTTCGTCTAAAACAATTTCCTTTGTCTTGGAATGGGGGTATAGATAAGGTGTTACATCTAAATGCACTTGTGAAATGTGCAATGTTGTCCATTGTACATTTCACATTGTAATAGATATACATACATGTGTGTTAACAAAATTCTGTTGTCTCCATATCATGCAGTCTAAGGCCTATTGATGTGGAATTCATGAGGCGTCTCAGCAAAGTGGTAAACATTGTCCCTGTCATTGCAAAGGCAGACACACTCACCCTTGAAGAGAGGGATTATTTTAAACAGACGGTAAGGCATTTGAAGATGTTTGAATGAATTGAGTTTTGTTTTGTAAAAAAAGTTCCTTTCTGCCATCTCACCTCCACAGACTATGCACAAACTATGTTTGACTGCAAGTATTTTGTATTTTGTCTGATAGAAGATTAACATCACAAACTCAGTTGCACCAGTTCATATGAAGAGCTACCAATAAACATAACACTTGGTCAAAACCACATATTATCTTTGAAAATATGTCACTTTCTCTGTAACTGTGACTTTTAAAAGTTAGTTTAGTTTTGTCATGGAAGCAGTAAAGCTCTATTTATTTTAATACTTTGTTTTCTGTGCTACATCCCTATTTCTAAATGTTGTTCTTCTTTCAGATTTAAAACCCCCTTTTATCTTCTAGCAAACAGGGTCTTTGTGAATGGCCCTGTTTTGTGTCAAACACTTTGTGGTTAAAGTGTTCTCTGTGTATAGTATATCACAACGAAATATAATATTTATCTGATGGCTTTAGTCACTAATTACTTTTCAGATAACAATTTCCACCCTTCAAGAGGGAAACAATAAAATTTGTACAGTTGTGATTATGGTAAACATGATCATATCCTTCATTTCTAACTTCAAGTAAAAGATTCTCAAATATGAAATTGTGGCAGTTCACCCTTTTTGAAAATCTAAACTAACTTTACAGTTCCAGAACTCCCTCCCATTGATTCTTTTGAGTGTATTGGACATTTACTCAATATATGCACGTTTAAGTATGTATTTATTTGTCATTTTGTATTGGTGGTGTGCAGATTAGGGAAGAGCTACGGGCCAATGGGATTGATGTTTATCCTCAAAAAGAATTTGATGATGATGCGGAAGATAGACTGATCAATGATAAAATCAGGGTAAGATTACACCAGTGATTCAGTTGAGTTCACAATGTCTGTCTGTCTGTCTGTCTGTCTGTCTGTCTGTCTGTCTGTCTGT